AAAAGAAATTTGTATGCTTTTACTTCTAATTATTTTTTTGGGTTAAATTTCAGAGAAAAATAACTTGAAAATAAAAATTCAACCAGATAATATTATTTTTTTTAATTAAAACTCAAAAACGTGGAAAATCAGTTTTCAGAAACAAATACTAAATGCGTTTTCAATGTTGAAATTTTTTAAACTTAAAAAAAAAAGAAACTAAATATCCGAGCAAACAAAACATTACGGCAGACGCACACTAGAATTTGACCCGCTGATCCGACGGAATTAATGGGCGGCCTCTACTTACCATTCCTTCCTTCACTTCTCCCTGAACAAATCGTGCTGCCACACATCTCCACGGTCCTAACCCCACCCTCTCCCTAAACCTTCTCTACTTTTCTCCACCTCCCATTACCTCTACCCTCTCTTTTCCTCCCTTACAGCTCTCTTTCCCCTCGTGTAAAACCCATTTTGGTTCATTTCTCCTCCTCCATCTTTCTTGGACCAACCCTAACAAAGTTGCCTCAAACTCTCAGGTGGCTCCTCTTCCTTCATCTTTCTCTTTTTCCTTATTAGGCCAATGAGAGGATGGAGCCGGGGGAACTATCTCGCGCATTCCAAATGTTCGACCGTGACGGCGATGGGAAGATCACTAAGGAGGAGTTTAGTGATTCCTTGACAAAACTAGGTATTGTAGAACTGATTTAAAGGATTTAATTGTATTTTCTTCCCTTTTATTGTCTTAATTAATATTTTTTAAATTAAAGATTCATCCTTCTTCAAAGTTAAATGGCGCCCTTACAAATTTGTAAGTACCCATGTCTTCTAAGAAAATTTTGTGACATGTAGGTATGCCAATTCAAGACAAGGAGCTCGTCCAGATAATAGAGACCGTCGACGTGAATGGGGACGGATACGTGGACTTGGAGGAGTTCGGGCAGTTGTACGGGATGTTGATGGAGGAGAAGGGTGACAAGGAGGAGGAATTGAGGGAGGCGTTCAAAGTGTTCGACCAGAACGGTGATGGCTACATCGAGGTGGAGGAGCTGAGGGCGGTGTTGCAGTCGTTAGGGTTGAAGCAGGGGGGCACGATAGAGGACTGCAAGATGATGATTATGAAGGTGGACGTAGATAGGGATGGGAGGGTGGACTACATGGAGTTCAAGCAGATGATGGAAGGTGGTGGCTTTTCTATCTTGAGTTGAAGGTGACATGCATATTTGCATGCATGGTTACCTACGTGAGAAGAAAAGAAGAAAGACGGGACAAGCTTATTTAACTGTAGAAGAAGGTTGAGATGAGGAGGGAACCTTTCATGAGAAGTAACACATCTTTGTAGCATGGATGTAATCCCACGTATATTTGCGCAGATCATGTACGTACTATATAAAACTATTTATGTCTTGTATTCTTTTTTTCCCCCTTTCTTTTTAATTTTATTTTAAAATTTTGTAATTTGTTCGTTTGTCTCTGTGTCTGTACTTGTCATGTGTTCACCTCTCCTTCTTTCCTTCATTCTTTTGCCCTACATTGTTGGATGGAGAAGATTTTTTTTTATAGAAAAGTTGGAAACTCAATTTCCTATCATGTAGACTATGCTCGATGTTTGATCAGGTGTGGCAGTTCTTCATTTTCCAATAGGAACGGATTCCTTCTATTAAATACGTAGATTACTTACACAATCATTTTTTTTTTCTTTCTCTAGGGGAAGGAGGTTGGTATCTGATTTATGTGTTTTCAAATTTATGAAACACTGAAAATCTTGAAAACCCATTTTCTAGCCGAAGTAGTTCCTTCGCATTTGGAAAATAACTTTCTGTTATCAGAAATGAGGCATGTTTTCATTAAATAATTATAAAAAACAATTTGACAAACATGTTTTTTTTTTTTCAAAATTTTAATAGTATTAAAAAGACAAATCCAAGAACAGGAGGAAAGAGGACCTTTTATGCATCCCAGCTTAGGAAATAAATGGTAATACCTGGGTCATCTAAATATATATAACTCAAGCATGCATATTCAACCTTGCTATATATTTCTTTCCATTTCTCTGTCTTTTATTTAAATAAAAGTAGCATGTTTATGATTATATATAATTTAAAATTACGAGAATTTAAAAAAAAATGTTTATCATGTTCTCTTTTTTTGCAAAAACGAAATTAAGAAAAAAAATTTTAAATATTATATATATAGCTTTTTTAAAAAAAAAATGGATCTTATCATCAATTTTAAGAAATAAAATTTTGAATTATGGTACATTTTATGGATTTCAACCAACTTGAGAAGCAATAAGCCAAATAAGGAAGTTCTGATCATGACAGAAGACACTTTGAATGACAAAGTTGCATGGACAAGAGAGCAATTCATTATATGTCTAAGACTAAGGCTACATATGTCGGGACTGCTTTTGCACTTCGGCTTCGGCTTTCCTCACATTGTCAACAATAACTTGTACTTTAGCAGATAGATATTCTGCTTGCTCCTCAACATTGCTCAGAAACGTTAGTAGTTTCTCCCTGTAAGATGCACATAGTTGGTCCTGCAGCTGCACCTCGCGAGTGAGTTCCTCAATTTTTTTGTCCTTGTCACCCTAAATATGTCAATGAAGAGGGCAGAATCAAGTTAGTAGCACAAAATTTACCAGTTAATCACGTATTAGACAAGATTTTTCAAAAACTAATATTCTCCGGCAGGGTGAAACACATTATTGTAAAATGCCTTCATGATAGGGAACTTGTATGCCCGTATTCAGCACAGAGTCACCTGATTATCCTCGTTAGTAATGGAAAACTAATATCTAAAGTGTTGCTTCTAAGTCCATAAAAATTCAATTAACACTTCAAGAGTCCAACATCGGATATCTCCAGAATACAGTTTGGATTAATTTCTGATAACTGTTCTCTATTAAGAAAAAAAAAAAAAGAGGACAACTGTTTGACAAGTTTTTGAGATAATTTCCAGAAAGCAGGCTCTCTTTTAGAAAACAACAAAGGGTTGTGTTCAGGAGTCCTGAAAACTATTGTCACCCGAAAAAGAAAACCATATGAAAACAGTAGAGTTTCTACTTTTCGTTATTGCACGCAACATGAAAATGGGAACAGGAAATAAAATAGAATGCAAATTGAAAAATGACCTAAATAACTAGGTGTTTGCTGACTGTAACCGTGGAATAATAAACTAGAAACATGAAATAGACAGCCATAAGAAAAGAATGCATTAGACATTTGGCTGACACAAGAACAAATGTAAAATCAATGAACAAGAGAAATGTAGTAAAAAACTTACTGCACTACTAAGCCCTTGCGCAGTGACAACCAAAGGATGGTTATGCTCCTTCACGAATCTTGTTACAACCCACTTTCCTGATTTTTCCAACTTCACCAAAATCATTGCCTTGCAGCCTTCTCGTGCAACAGGCCGTGCCTTCTTATCAGGCCCAATTCGGCCATGATTAGGAGAAAAACCCTGCTTATTACATCCAAGTCGACGTGCAAGTGTTCTCCCATCAATCTCTGAACGACGGCGTCCCATCATACGCACAACAAATCCTATTTGTCGGGCATAATCAATGTAAAATTTAGTGGCAGCATCTTCACAATCAAATTCCATACCCACGTAGGGTTCCAAAGTTTCACCACCTTCAGACCCATCTATAGCACCTTCATCAGAGTTGTCCCTTGTTATAGATACTTCAGTAGAGTCATCCACTGCTCTTCCTCCCTTGTCCAAATCCATAGTATACTTTTTCTTATACTAATTAGATGCTAAGTACACATTTCCTATGTCATACCCATCTTAATTCAACTCAAGTCGAAATTACATGGGATCAGCTACATGGCCAGGATGTCTGCATTTCGTTGCATGAGACGTCAATATTTTCAATATTATACTTGACAAAATGTTGGAAGAAGTTATTTCTCAAGGTAGCATAGAGTCAACATAGTAGTTTATTTTTAAGGCAATTCACTATATGCAGAGAATTTCAAATATATCCAATTTGGCTACAAGGCAGAGAAAACTAATGATTAATCCACAATTATTGGAAAAAGAGAAAAAAATACAAAACATTGAGTCTCAGCTTTTCAACCCCCAGAAATAAAAACAAACATCAATTCAACTGAGCTATAAATACAATGGAGCAGATTCATTATTTCAAATGATTCACTTGAACCAAGTGGCTATATACAGAATTTTCCAAAGTAGAAAACCAATAGCATGAAATGATCAAGGGGTATCCACAGAACCAAACTGGGCAGTATGTTAGAATTAATTCATAAATGTGTCAAAAATAGATAAGTAATATATGTAATCATGAAGCTATTGACTTAGATGCCACGTGGCACCTTTAGCTTTTTGTCCTAATGAGGGTTCCCATAAATACTAACCTTTATTCAATATAATCACATCCCATTGTAAACATGCTACAAGTTAATATCTGCTGCTACAGGAATGTGGGTGCAAGGACGACAGGAGAAGGTAAGTAGAATTTGGTGCTTCCCTCAAAGCTTCAAATTTTAGTTTCATGTTAATATCTACTCTGTGAGGAAAGGTTCCATCCTGAATTGTAGCATATTCACCAATATCATACAATACCGAGGAATGTGAATGTTATGCAGATTCTATCTAAATGTATGAAATGCTCATGTCAGATATCTGATAACCGCGCATGCGAACAGGGCTGCTGGCCACTTCTAGTTTGACATTCCTCCAACAAAAATGTTCAGTGATTGAAGTTACAAAATGGTTGTATTCTACATGTATTATGCATGTAGTGCTCTTGAACACGATAACAAATTAGAAAATTAGAAGAACTATACCAAGAAGATGAATATTTTCCATCTTCCAGTATCTTTAAACATGGGAATTACATTGATCAAACCCTTGCCGAAGATAGTTCCTAATACTCGTTCCCTAGTCCATGAAACACTCGTTACAGGATATTCTGGGTCCATGAAACACTTGTCACAGAATATTCTGGATAATGTTCAACATGTAGTGAGGCGATCAATAAAGTTCAACAACAGAAGCCACTTTTGGTAGGTATTTTCTGAATTCCTTATTGTCAAAGAAACCAATAAATAAATGTCATGTACACAAATTTCTGATTCCCTGAAATAATCATTCATACTACAAAAGGTTTTTGGTAATGAGAATTGCCCTCGAATTTATAGGCAAACTGTAAATGAATCAAGGTATTAACATTTATTCCCAAAGTAGCTCTTCAACCCCGTTTCAGAAGCAAAAAAATCGCACATGTTTACAGTTTCTTGACGCGAACCAAAGTAATCATAGTAACAGACTCGCATAAAACATACACAGAGAGAGAAGACAGAAGAAGGAGTGGCAATTGAAAGAAGAACTGACTGATTAATCCCCAGGACATGGAGATTTAGCTTCCGCCAGAAAAAGAAAATAAACCTCAATGCCGTCGATCGTCTCGCCAGAAGGGAGTGGCAAGGGAAGAGCCGATAGAATTAAGTCGCCGAAGAAGATAATGTCTAGGGATGAAGTGCCTCGCCGGGAGAGAAGAAGGAGAGCCTTTCGCCGGCAATCCCGTCGACGAATTTTGGCACCGAGCACAGGAGCGACCGAGAGGAATAATACCCACCGGCTCTGTAAAGCACACATGAAGCCGGTACTTCTCCCTATTTATGGTCCCCATCAAAAGCGGCCGGCTCAACAAAACTTCACCCGGTTTCACCGAATTTTTCGATCAAAGAATAATAAAAATAAAAACAATTTATCTGAATTTTTTTTACCTAAATCTTGAAGGTCATTTGTGATGATAAACACCAATCTTTCAAAATGTAAAATTCTACAGGTAATCGTGAATAATGGAGTCGTTACCTGTCTTAACAAATTTTACCTATTTGAGTGTATAATAATACTCTTTCTATAATTTATTATTCTTATTTATTCGTTTAATATAAGATATTATCTATGACATTATTTTATATTTAATATTTAATTCTATTATCAAAGTAGAGATAATGACAGTGTCAAATTTAAGAATAGTGAGTACAAAATTTGTCACAATTTTTTTTTTTATTTTGCATTTCACTGTTTTCTATTACCATTTTAGTATCGAAAAATTTTACATTTTGATAATTAAAAATTTTGTTCATAATTTTAAAGTAATTCTTTAACATTATTTTTTTATTTTTATAAATTTTTAATTATTTCCCTCAAATTTGAAATTTTTCTATAAATTCTTAATTTATTTATGTAAGTCATTTAAAAAGTATACAATTAAAAACTAAATATGATATTTTAGAATAAATTTATAATAAAAAATTTTACTTACAAAATTTTGAGGAGTACATGCGCTTAATCTAATCTCTAAGTAGCTCTGCCAGGGGGTGGAGAGGCCGTCAAAGTGACACAATCCCCTCATCTACCTTCCTTTCAGGAATATTTGATTGTCAATGAATTAAAATTTTGACATTAATTTTAATATTATTTATTATATCATTATTATTTTTTTAAAAAAAATATACATATGTAATGTCTTGTCTTATAATTTACTATGCACATTTTCTTTTATAATCTATTTTTTTTTTACTTTGTAATAAACAATTATTAGTGTTGCTCACAAGAACAAATTTTTATTTTTAATTTCAAATTTACCAATGAACTAATAATTTTGGTATTATTTTACATATGAATGTGAAGTTTTCTATAATCTTCTGATTATCTTTTTATTTACACGATTTTACCGCAATTTTATTACGTGTTTTTAATTAGGCCATATGTATTAGTATTAATAATGTCTTAGTAATTTACTATATTGGCGTGATAGAGCACGTGCAGTGGCACATTTTTAGCCCTTGCCTTCCAATTTTCATGACGTTGTCATAGCCATATCCCGCATCCTCCTGGTTGTCCTCGTCGGTAAAACCACTCCGTACTGTTGTTTGATTGTGATCCCTTTCTCTTTATTCTCTCTGTTGCTCTCTCTCCGTGTCTTCCCACATACTGACTCTCGGATATAGAAACAAACTGTTCACGCTGGTTGCATGCCAAATGCTCGATGAAATTCCCGTGAGAGGTTCGCTTCATTTGAGCTCCGTGTGGGACGTGCGTTTCGCCTGTCAGTCACTAGAGAAGCGGTAGGAGCAGGTTGTTTTCCGTTAAATGGGTAGCGTGGTGTGGCCTTGCGGTTCGATTTCGTCCTCCAAGACACGGGTAATTCAGGGACTCGAACGGTCCAACAGGAGCATAATTAGTTTAAAGTTTTCAAACGCGCCTAGAGTAGTTCGACTGCTGCAATTGGAGGCGAGAGTTTATCGTAGGAAGCTACCTAAGAACCTTCGGTATCCACGGCGTACCAAGCTTCCCCCGATTTTGGAATTGACAGGCATTGGAAGAGGAAGCCTCAGATAGAGCACCCCATTTCGGATGAGACACCTCAACTAAGTGATGAGAATCCTCAGGTTAGTATTCACACTGCAGCTGATGATGTCAAAGAAGATGATATTTATAGTGAGGATGACGATGAAGACAAAGTGACAAGAGGAGGAGGAGAAGGAGAAGGAGGAGGAGGAGGAGGAGGAGGAGGAGGGGGATACGATATTTCTTGGGAAGAAGATGAGATTGAAGCAATATCATCCCTTTTTAGAGGAAGGATTCCACAGAAACCCGGAAACTGGGAAGAGAAAGGCCTTGCCACTCCCTCTTCCCTACAAAATTCGGCCTTCAAAACTCCCTTCACCTAAGAAAAACAGAAGACTGACTATTTCTACAGCTATTTCGTCACGGCCATCCTTGTCTAGCCAAGTATACAAAAACCCAGGCTTTTTAATAAAGCTGGCCAAGGAGATTAGAAACCTTCCTTTAGAAGAATCTGTATCAACTGTTCTCACCAAGTGGTCCAGATTCCTTCGGAAGGGGTCGCTATCCTTAACAATCCGAGAATTAGGTCACATGGGTCTTCCTAAGCGAGCTTTGCAGACTTTCTGTTGGGCTCAAAAACAACCACACCTCTTCCCAGATGATAAAATTCTAGCATCAACCATTGAAGTTTTGGCTAGAAATCAGGAGTTAAAAATGCCACTAAACCTGAAAAGGTTCACTAGCCTGGCGAGCAAGAACGTGATTGAAGCTATGGTGAGGGGAATTCATTAAAGGTGGAAGCTTGGGACTTGCTTATAAGCTTGTCTTAGTTGCAAAGGATGGTAAAAGAATGTTAGACACTAGTGTCTACGCTAAGCTAATACTAGAACTGGGAAAAAACCCAGATAAGCGAATGCTTGTGTTGACTCTGCTAGAAGATCTCAGAGAAAGAGATGATCTGAACTTAAATCACCAGGACTGTACGGCTATCATGAAGGTTTGCATAAGGCTTGGGAAATTTGAAATTGTGGAGGGCCTTTTTAGTTGGTTCAGACAATCCGGGCATGATCTAAGTGTGGTTATGTATACTACTCTGATTCATAGCCGATTCTGCGAAAAGAAATATAGGGAGGCATTAGCCGTGGTATGGGAAATGGAGGCCTTGAATTGCCTCTTTGATCTTCCTGCTTACCGTGTTGTGATAAGGCTTTTTGTTGCACTGAATGATCTCTCTAGGGCAGTACGATATTTTTCAAAACTTAAGGAGGCAGGTTTTTCTCCTAGTTATGACATCTATCATGATTTATTCACGATATACTTGGTATCTGGAAGGGTAGCAAAATGTAGAGAGATTTGCAAGGAGGCAGAGATGGCAGGTTTTATGTTGGATACGAAGATGAAGTCACATTTATTGCAATTTCAAAAATGAACCAAGTTAGTTGTTTACATTATATATTTATGGAATTACAGTGTTTTCTTGTGCTGAGGATGTCATCATATTTATAATTTATTAAGTGAATTATGATAAAATCAATAAAGCTGGAGAAACTTGGCTACTTCTATTAAAATTTCAGTAATGATCTCTACTCTATTTTCCATGCTAGATGTAATTTTTGTTGTTAAAATATTTAAAGATTTAGAGAGGAAAAACAGAATCAGTTGCCCAGTGAAGAAGGTGGAACTCAGGAACCAGTTGTCTGTATGGAGTTTGGCTCTCACATGCAGCCAAGATATTCCATGATGAGTATGCAAGTCGTGTAGGATTTGTAATGCGTATTGATCAGTGCGGTAGAACAGGGGTTGAAAAGCAAATCCTTTCCTGGAGGCTTTCATGCAATAAGCAGGGTTACTATACTAAAAAACTGAGAGATCATTTTGGCCTGCTAGGTAACCCAGATCAAGTGCAAGTAGAATGTAAATGGATTTGGGTTTTGCGGGTACGCGAACCATTTACCCGACTCGGATTCGGATTCGGATTCGGCCATTACAATTCGATTTCTGGGTCGGGTTCGGTTATATGTTATTATATTTTTTGGGTTCGGGTTCGGATATGGTTTTTATGTAATAATACCCAAATAC